CACCCCCCCCCCCCCACTAGATAGAGATGGATTCGTTGGGTCATATTTAGAAAAATAAAATAAAATGAAAGAAAGTTAGTCCGTGTTATTTGTAGTCTACAACACAATACTTATCTCCTAAATAAAGCAGTACTGAGGTGCATACCACATATGTTAGCCGTCTACCTTATGCGCCCCGAGCAAACGGGACGACGAAAGACACACTATCTACATGCCTGGAAAGCACTTGTTGCAGCGTCTTCCCCCTTCGAACCCTACACCCTGGGCATAGACTACGCATATTTCGCACGATGACTCCGCCCCCCGTTTTTTCGGGTTGCACGACATTGGGCCGGCCCTGCAAGACACCCCAGAGTCTTGATGCATCGGGAAACAACCCATGTCAGGTCTCTGCTGGCAATTCTTTGAGGCACTTCAGCTGCTCTATCTGTTGTTGGCCTCACGCGCTGCCGGTTTCAATCTTGGGCATGTTGACAGTCAGTTGTAGAGAGAGCGGGTGGCGGGTGGCGGGTGGCGGGTTTGTGACTCTGACGAAATTATGAGAACACCAATTAATTGGGTAGACTAGTCTAGAACTTTTGGGCTGGAAAAAATACGAGCGCGACACGTCGGACAGGACCCAATATCGAAGACCACCACTGTGGGCACCACATGTCAGTAATCTCGTGTCGGGCAAACACCCTTTTTACACGACTTTTCTCTTAAAGCTGCCGTCATTGCACAACTATGCAAAAGGCAGCTCATGGTATGAGGTAACCTTTTGGGCCCGTGGATCTGCATCCAATCGATACTAGAGCTGTAGTGGTACCTGCCGAGCTCAGCAACCGCGCTGTCTGCTGTTTCGTGTCCGTTGACACGGAAAAATTGCCAAGCCGGCGGCTCTAAAAGCTGCACGGGACATGTGTATCATACGTGGTACAACCACACGCAGGTTGCGGCCTACATGTACCCCAGCCGTATACGCTGCTGTCCGCAACTGCAGGCACACACTCTCACCAAAGAGGTCGATGTCGTACATGTCGACGTCGAAAGAAGTGTTGACTTGGAATTGAAGCTGCCTGAGGATTATTCAAGGATACCAGCGTCATCATCAGCATGGATAAGACAGAGGGTGGGTCGTGTAGTGATTCAGGGTGCCCCCGCTTAATAAACACACCGTTATTTTACGATAATTACCGCACACCACGAATCCATTCTCCTAACTACGGTCTGATTCACCATTGCCAGGTTGCGTTCGTCGCTGGCTGCCAAATCTCCTGTCCTCGGCAAACTGTTGCAAAACAAATCAAGAGTGCTCCCAAAGCCATTATCAACCGGCGCCAGAACATCCTGGCAGAAAGCACACAAGCCGCAGCAGCCGCGATCTCTCGGTGCACCGTCGAAGAGACTATACTGCTGTAAAGTGGCTGCCTGGAATGTGTCAACGGGTGGTGTGGGGTGGGTGTGGTGCCGCGATGTAAATAAAGCCTGTAGCATGCCTTTTCTACATCCTATTTTTGAAGATTCAAAAAATATGCGGCGAGTCTATTCGGCCTTCTCTTCTTTACGAGTTACCCCGTGCCTCCATGCCCTGCCTGGAGCCTGGAGTACAACAGCATAGCAATATTCCCGTCTGCCCCACCGCCTGTGCCGCCGCAGCACACACCCCGGATAGGATTGATAACTTTTCCTCCTCCACAGGTAAGGGAGAGGTTCGGGAGCGAAAGGTATGCCCTTGGCCGTAGGTGTAATGCCCCTATTTCGTAGGTACTGGCTCCCTTGAGAGCTCCGCGGCCGCACAGGACGGACGTGCCACCCAGAGCGGTTGTAGTTCACCAGCATCCGCACGTTTGGGGTAGACCGGACCCCAATAGGAAGTCTTCGGCTTGATGCACATGAAGGCGCCACTAGATCCAGTAACAGTAGCACTGCATCACTGCCGTGCAGCGGTGCCGCAGAGGGGTGGCGTAAGATACCACACTCCCTGGACCGATTTCCAAAGCTCGATTACGCCGCGGTGAATAGGATGTCGAAATCAAAAGATGGTTGTCGTGAAGCTCCTGACGAGACGAATCCATCACCACCATTGTCGGCACCATCGCTGTTTTTGTTGCAGAGCAATCGAGATTTGACAATCAGGCCAGGGGATGTGGTATCTTACGTAACCTACGGAAGCACAGCGCAGTCCTTGCTGTCCCATGTCACGCGGTGCAGGACGCGACCGAGGTTGTGTAGAGATAATGTACAGCCAACACCAACCAACCGAATTGAATGTCGCGGGATGTGCGCATCTCGTTACCGAGAAAGGGCTATATGGCCCGGGATGCTTGATTTATTTCCTCACTGGCTGTGTATATTGTTGGCGCCAACACACAGCAGTCTGTGCCAGGCGTAGAGGAGCGCCACAAGCCGATTCTTGACACCTGTCGGCAGGGTCATGGGCTATTGATTCGCTATGCCCCCCCCGCCCCCCGCCCCCCGCCCCCCGCAGGAACACGCTCTCAGGACACAAGTAGGATGCTGAATAGCCTTGCTTATCGGTCGATGGAAACAGAACCTTTGCAAATGTCCTTTGTACGGCCATCTGTCAACGAGATAGTAGTAAACTCGTATACACAAGGTTTACATCATAAGATATCTGCCGCTGCCTATTCTGGAGTCAGCAATGGATGACCTACATAGTGGGATCGGATATAATCGACACTCTTTGTCCTACCCCAGTTGTCATGTATCGTTGAAACCGAACGAACAGCAGTGTGTAGACCCATGTCACCCTACTCATTGGAGTACGTTGACTGCTCTCTCGCCCATGCCCTCCCCACCCTCTAATGGCAGGAAACTGGCGAAATAGCGGCTTCACAAGACTAGCTGAGATTCTTGCCACGCGTCTACTCAGATCGAGAATTGCAAGGAAACTACTTGTAGCTAAGGGCCACCGACATCGGCCTGAACAGCAGACCATGAACCTGCCCCCAAGTTCTTTGCTCGGGCGACTGGAGGCGTTTTTGCCCGAGATGGAGAAGGCCAATCAGAAAACAGAGAAGCTCGCCCAGGAGGGAAAACTGGAGGTTCTCGACGGGAGTCTAGAGGTGGCGGACTCGGACAAACAGACGGAAGGGGCGGAGGGGACTGACGACGAGGCGGGAGAATCGGAGGCGGAGGAGGAAGAAGAGGGAGGGCAAGTGGAAGGAGCGGCAGGGGTGGTAGCTGCCGGCAGGACCGTGCAGCTGGTGAGCATTGGTAGGGGCGTTGCAAGGGAGTTTGGGAAGACGTCTTTGGGAAAGAACGTGAATTAATTTCAATATTTCGAATGCCGGCGCTGTTCCCAACGAAGAAGGCAGGTTTTTGGTTGGAAGTGCTTGAGCATGTTTCGGGGTATTCGCTTTGGCCGCCAGCAAGGGAGAAGACTGAAATGAAATGGAGGCTTGACACGAAGCAGTTGTCGAGCCGCACGTTCTCTCACCCGCGGGCCGTTGAACGTTTCAGTGTGTCGATGGCATTCGTAAGGAGATGCTCGGTGTTTTCCCGATTCTCGCCAAGCCAGTATTCGCAGAGTCTTTGGCGTGTGGCGTGTTTCGTTCACGTCTCTTGTTTGTAACCAAAAACCAATAACTACTCTCCCGCTCAATCTGTGTCCCCCACTCAGGACTTCGCCCTCGGGGACTTCGACGATACCCCGATAGCTAAAATGGAGCAAGAAAAGGCTGCGGCTAGCGAAGCCGGGGTAGTAAATGCCGGTGCCAGGGGTAGCGCGGAAGAGGAACAAGGGGTCGAGGAGGGTGGAGGTGTCGTGGTGCCCGGTGCAGCACACCAGAAGAAAACAAGTAAACCCTTGATACAGGAGTTGTAGATGCAGAGTACTCTGCTTTCCAGGCACGTTGAGGCACAATTTTTCGAGTGCTGTGTGAGAGTTGCCGGATGTGACTGGGTTGAAACTTTGGCTCCTGTGAACCGTCCTAGTTTTTGTTCTTTCGGGCACCTTTTCAGGGAATCAAGTTTTTGTCCGCACGAGCCTGTTGGTGAGTTTCGTTTTCGGACGTGAAGCTTTTGACACCGCTTGAAAATACTCCTGTCAGCCTCTCCTGGAACCCCAGCTGTAGCGTCCAAAACACGAGAAGAAAGGTGTAAAAACTGACGTCCAACAGAAAAAATGGAACGGCACACAACATCTTCAACGCGATTGTCCACTACAGGCCTCTCGTGCGTGGACGATGGTCAGCAGATGAATGGCTCTTGAACGTGCAGCAACGCGATCCACACGTTTGCCAAAAGACGGCCGCGTGTAGACTCGAGAGATTAAACAGGAGGGATGAGGGCTGTGCATTGATGCGACACGCCAGGTACGAAAGGCAAACAGCATCGCATTGCTCTCTCATCCATCTGAAAGCAATGGATTTCTGTATGTTGTCCTGTATGTTTTCGCTTGCAACGTGCCGGGTTACGATCAGCGCGCGCTGCCGTCTTTTCCGACTCGGACACCACGTGGGTCGCTCGTTACGGAGTAGGCGCCCGAGTCCAACTATCACAGTGATGGTGAGGGACGCCATGGACCTCACTACTGTTCTAAATACCCGGGAAGCCGGTGCGGGCGCCATGTTTCGCCGCACTAGCGAGCACGCAGGATCTAGAGTGTCAGGCCCAATGCCGAAGAAAACATCGGCAGACAGCACAATACCAGACATTCCGCCCAACAAGCACCCAAAGGACAAGACCGCTGAAACACAGAAGATCAAAAGCGAGACATGAGCGGACAGGGAACATCGGATTACCTCCATCAAAGATCCAGCAGTTTTGTTTTTACTTTTTTTATTTCCAACGTTTGAATGAACCGAAACGCTTCGCTTGCACTACCAAGGTACAGCCGTCGTTCGGCGATGGCGGATTGTCATCCAAACTGCTCAAGAGAAAAATGCGTCGCGGTGCGACTGTTCCGCGTCCTCTCCCACCCTCGCCCCAAGCGCGCCACCCTTGCACATCTCAGAGCTCCGACTCGTCTTTCTTGTTGACAAGGCACGTCAGCGCCTCGTCGGCCTCACCCTGCCCAAATAAGGGGGCGGGTTCACGAACACACGGCCGTGTGAGCGCGGGTAGGGGATGTCTTCACGAACACACGCAGACGGAGCTTGATTGTGGAAGCGGTTTACAACAAGAACACGATGATCAATGCAGAGTAGGTACGTCGGGTGCCGCGCGCACGGCCCTCAGCAGCGGGATACACTCATGCATAGAACATGCAACGACTGCAGCATGCGGCTCGTCTCAAGATACGAAGGGCAGCTGCAGGACATGCTCCAGGGAAGACGCAACAGACCAAACCAAACACTGCCACATTGTTACCAGCTTCAAGGCCTTTGAGGCTGACTTGGCCCGAAATTGGTTGCATCTCGAATCGGAAGTACAGGCTGAGTCACCACAGTTCGATCTGGAAACGGGCGCTTCCCCTCAGCACATCTCGGCATCTTCATACGTTGTAACCTTTTGAACCTTCGCGCAGCGTTATGCCACTACAAGTAAGGCATGGGGGTGACCCTCCACGAACATGCCACTTCCAACGTGGGGGGGCATTAATACGCACGCACGCAGCCTTCCACACACACAATAGGAACGCCGCCATTCCACATGCAAACCGGAACCTAAGTCGCTACGAGAAAGGCCATGGCGGTATGCATATATCGGTCTGGGCGATTGGTCGCTAGTCTCAACCTTATCTCACCCTGCCGCGCAAGTAACCAGCCAGCGCGTACACGTCCGACTCTCCGGTGAAGGTTCCCGAAACGGGGTCCAACTTGCCCACGTTGATCTATCACAAGGAGCAATAGCACCGGTCAGTAAGTTTGTCACAAAGAGGGAAGGGAACGCACAAGGGAACAGAGCACCGAGCATGAAGGGCGCCGGACTCCACCGCTGGCATACGTTCCCAGCCAGGAAATCCATCTGCCAGCAGTGGATCATGAGAGGTTTGGGTTTTAAAATTTCACCCCTTCTTGCCCGGCGGGTACACACTGCTCAGTCTATGCGCCAGGTTAAAGCTAGTTCTTGGAGGGCGTATTTCGTGCTAGGGAACATCAGTGACGCTGCCACTCCTTTCGTGCACGGATAGTTGAGGCAGACAGAAACGTTCGACCCGCCAGGCGGCTGACGTGAGTCCTTGCACGTAGCGCTACGGGAAAAAGTGCCGCATCCATATCTTCCTATAACATCGCGCCATGCAAAGCGGCAGAAAGCTCGTACAGCATCCAACGGCAGAGGTTGGGTGCGTGATCAACAGACACCCAAGCATCCAACCGGTCATACGGGGCCGGAAAGTTGTAGCGCAGACTGCGCAAAAAATGACATTAATTGCCACTAGAGAATGGGCGCAACACCGACGCTGGCACGTACGATGCTGCTGTGAAGCAACGTATGAGGCAAAGGCGGAGGAGGATACGAAAAAAGACCAAGTGAGCCACTGACCTGGGTGGAGGAGTGGTCCTTGGCCTGCAAGAGGCGGTTGGTCCAGGAGCTGGAGCAAAACAAAAAAAGGCAACAACACAGGAGTTTCGTCAAGCGGGCATGATACCAAATGCTTTCGATTGCACGTCTGCATGTTATGGTATAGTTGCCGGGGAGCATTACTCTTGTGTGTACACCTTGACGAGACGAAGCGCTAATGCCATACTATCGTTGGGCGTGCAAGAGGTTGACGACAGAGAATGGTGTGTTAGTCTAAAGGTACTGGTTACACCCGGACAAAATGGCATTTTCGAATGAATGGGACCGACCGGCCCTATGGCAAAAATTGTGTGTCGGTGTGCCCACCAACTGCAGCAGTACTTGTCTGTGGTAGCTAAAGCTAAACAAGTCAGTTTTCGACAAGGATGTACCAGTGCCGGCGGTGGTGTACTCCGTGCTTACTGTGCCGCTATGGGCAGCAGGCAAGGACCACCGCATACGCTGCAACAGAGGCGGCGAGATATGGTAACCAACCGGGCAAGCACGAATGCAGCAACGTCGGCGATGGGTGATAGGGGCCACCAGCGAAAAAACTCAGACCGCTGAGAGTTGTATCCTTCTCGCCTACACTCTTCGTATCTCCTTCACTCCCAAGTCCCCACCGCTACGTCCTCGCAAGCAACCACACGCTACCAGCATCCTTGCTTTCCGGTAACAGGCTGCGCGGAATCTTGTCGAAGGACAGCACTGCTGGCGGTAACTAATCAATCCTAACGAGGCTCACCACTTCCTGGGGATGTAAAGGTCAACATTCGATCCGGCCTCGTTCTGCATGGTGACGACAGGGGTGAGTTAGCTCCGAAGCGGGGGGTGCTGTGGCAAGCGCGGCTCCATCGATTCGTGGGGCACACGCAGACTGCGAATGCTCGGGTCACGTACATACCTCGGAGAAGGTTTCGCTGATGTGGTGATGCGTGTTTGTGGTTTGAAACGTATATTTCGAGTTTTCTTAGACACGACGAACGACGGGGCATTATCCCGCCGCCCTGAACACGGAGAAACGTGTCTTACTCTGCACCGACGGAGCATGAGCTAGCAAAGTCAGAGGAAGAAGGAGCAGGTAATATCGCTGGAAAAATGGCAGACTCAGCTCTCAAGTCACAAGACACTGCTGGCGCCGACGACGGAAAGAACGATGCTGTACAAAACGAAGGCGGTGTTGGGCATCCGGTGGACCAAGCTGACAATGTTGCTCATGATGCCAACGTCAAAATTCCAGAGGGTAGGGGACGGGAAGAAGATCCCTCCCCTCCTCTGGTGGGAGGCGATTTTCCTGATGGGCACGATCGTCCTCCGTCCACCAATGTGGCTCCGGAACAGACTATCCCCACCGAGGTGTCCGGAGCGGGTGTTGTGTCGGATACAAACAATCAAGACCAGGAGGACCCAATGACAACCAACGAATGGCATGGGGAGGAGGGGAGGCACCTGGATCAACTTCGGCAGGAAGAGAGTAGCATGGGTGTTCCCATGTTTGGCAACCCGGAGAGCTCTGTAGGGTTTGGACTTGGAGGCGATGTTGCACAGCTCTCCAACGGCGGTGGTGAGGACGGAATCAGTGGAGATGGACGCGGCGCTAGAGAAACAATGGCCGACACGATATACCCGAACAGCTCCAAGTCCCCCCAAAACAACGACGATGGCGATGACCACGCCGTCGGTATGGGCAGTAGAAGTTTCGGCGAAGGTGAACAGGGTGCAAGTGATGATGCTGGGTCACGAAGTCGGAGAATGTTCGATGGCTCTAGGGTAGCGGAGCCAGATCATCTTCAGATAGTTGAGGCTGGGGAAGGCGCCGACATTATTCCAGGCGTGGATGATCTACCAGTCTTCGCCAATGACCAGAGCAAGGCATTGAACGATGAAATCAAGGTGAGGCAGCAGAGTCGGCCGCCGTAAGAATGGGCGATGCGTGCAGTCAGTCTATCTCAGCGAGGGATTCTTAAACCACGGTGGCGCTTTGCGGTGTGTCTCCCTCTGCACCATATCTCCAACAAGTATTGTACCAGCCCGCACCAATGCAATGCTTGCTTGCGTTCGAATGCCAGTAGGCCCTACTGTGCAGGTCTAAAGCAGTCCTGTTCGTTCTTAGAACACCACAACTACCTGCTCAGTGGCTCGATCTGGATGCCCGAAATGTATCGTCGGTTGTTAAGTTCTTGTTGCAATTTTTTCCTCCTCAGGTACGGGAGAAAAAGGTAGCCCAGGCGACGAATGCTCTTGCTGACAACCGAGAACGAGTCCGAATAATGGAAGAACACCTCAAGAACGTACGCCAAGAAGTCGGGCACACGAATGCTCTCATGGCTGCAAAGAAGAAGGAAATCGCTACGGAAGAACACTTATGCGCCCTTGCCGCCCGGGAAGCGGGCAGGTGCGATTGGGAACACAAGTTCCAACTATATAGTGCCCGTTGACACTACGACATACAAATACTTCATGCCCCACAGTTGTCTCATCCAACTAAACGTCACTTCATACGCACCATGCTTGTTCGCTCCCTTAGAATACAGGCGTGGCACATGCCGCTTTTCTGTCGTCAAAAGGGTAGAACTGAGTTGATCGTAAGGCTACTCGTGGGTAGTGCTCGCTAGAGAAACTGGACAGCAACCTTAACTGGCTTAAACATACTCCAGTTGTCAACGGAATCGCTAACAATACACGAGCGTATGACAGAACCCCCCACATCCTTCTTGCTCACCCCCTTTGAATTCCTCTTGGGTAGGTATACTCATGATGCCCGTCGTTTCGTCGTGGAGGCCGAAGAGGCCCAAGACAAACTCAACGGTGTTCAGAATGCCATTTTTGGCGCGAACGAGGAAATGGACAGGTTCAAGCTGCAGATGAATTGGAACCAGGAGGAGCTGGAGCAGTGGGCCCTTGCGGCGAAGCAGAAGGAGGAAGATAACCTCGCTCTTCAAAAGTACGCTCGAGCGGACGACGTGAAAATCAAGGACCTGAGGTAAACAAGCGTCCTTTACACATTCACGTAAGTGTGGGAAGGTCCGGTCGGTTAAACGCGGTCCAATACCAACAATTCTCAACATTAGGACTTGCCTCCTCCGCTGGGTTGGGTTCACCTTTCGCGCGTGTTGGAAACTCAGACTGACTTAGTCGTGTTTGTCGGGCTCCTTCTACTCGTGGGATTGGGTGTATGCGTTGGGTTGCAGCACAAACATGACGGCACTAGACGTCGAAGTCGTTGATTGTGTGAAGTTCGTGCGGTGGTCAAGGCTACATGCTTTTTATAACGCAACAATCCTTTCCGCCGAACACTGTGCTTTGCGGCAGCCTCCAAGTGGAGCGATTGTCGAAGTCTGTCGTCGCTAGGCGAGCAGAACTGCAGAGCCTCGAGGCCGAGTCCTCGGCCAAGCAGGTAAGAATAACGGAACCGTGAAATGCTCCAATGGCCCTCACTTGCTTCCGTCTGAGTTCCCATTGTCCCCACGTGTTAATAGAGTCACAGACGTTTCTGAAGGGTTGTCACAGGCAGAAAGAGGGTGGGAGATGTATGGGGGGAGTTTCCTTTCATGATCAGACCCCGTTCACACGATGTGCTGGGATCCACAGCAGAAAGAAAGGGTGATGTCTTGTGAATGACTCAAAGTAGACAGCGGGACAAACGGTCTTTGAGTCTACTGAACGCTTCGGACAATCGGTTTGACCAAGAGGGCGATAGCCCATCGACCCTGCCATATTCCCTTCGACACGTGACATGGCAATCCATCAATCTCGCGAAGGTTCGGTAGCATGGACGAGTTGGTGCCTTGAAGCTCTTTTTCAAGACTAGACTCGTGCTCGGAGAAGTTACCTGAGGCACAAGAAGCCCCGAAAACCTCTCCAATGCCTTTATAACTTCCCCGTGTTCACACCACCTACCCTGCCGCACCGTGAAACACGCATATGAATACAGGTCGAACTGGACAACACCGCCGCGGACTTTAGGCGGCTGCATGCCGAGCGCCAGGACCTTGTGCGGCAGTGGCAGAACGCTATCGACGGCATGCGCCGCCGAGACGAAGAGATCAACGCCGTCGGCGAAAAATTCGCGGCGGCTCGGCAAGTGCGGGCGACCCGGATCGAAACGCTGGCGCAGAACGCAGCGAGGCTCAAGATGCAAAGGAACGACAACAAGGAGGTGATGGAAATGGAACGGGTTGGCCCGGGGTGACCGTCAACACAAGAAATGAGGAGACACCATGTGGCGAAGAGAGGGAAGACAATGTGGTGTCGGAAAATCGTTGACCGGATTCAATGGGGTCAAAGGAAGGCCGGAACATTTGCGATGGACGGGGTACATCACCGTGTTGTGTGCCATTAATTTTTGAGACGGCATCAACCACAGACCTTCCCGACAGTCAATCTACCCTAGAGACCACTAGGTGCTAATACCGTCCATGTTTTTTCCATCGGACCACTCAAGTACAAGTGCCAGTTGCTGTGCGGTTCGCCATCAAACCCCCAGATACCTCCGTGCAGATGACGTACAGATGATATTCAGATTTCCTTCATCTTGACAGCACACGCCGATTACTTTCCTCCAATTCTCGCCCACCAAGCACCTACACATAAACACCTAAGTTGTGGTTGCCTCCAGGAGCGCCAACCGGATAAACTCTGCTAACTTATTTGACACTTGCCTTTCGAACTCGGTCATACGACGTCAACCCCACTTCCCAACGGCGCCGATGATGCGGTAGGTTCAAGCCTCAATCGAAAACCTCGAGCGAACAGTACAGCGGCAGCGCGAGGAAGCCCAGGCCGCTCAGAAACGCCTGGAGGAGTTCCGCGATGTCCTCGAGGTGGTCAAGAACACACTCGGAAACGGGGCCGGGGCGCTGGCCAGGAAGCGAGGCGAGAATGCCAACCTTACCGCGCAAATAGAGGAGAAGCGGGTCGGGCTGGACACCGCCCGACGGAGATATCAGGCAAGTGGAGTGTGCAGCAGTGAGTTGGCCGTTGTCGCCGGTACCGCTATGAACGAGACGCGTAGCTTCTGAATCGATCGCACGGACTTCTTGCTGTGGACACGATATACGCTGGAAGTCGTCGGTGGTGGCCTGGTTGAGTCGAGACGACCATGCGGATCTTGGGCACGCGGCACCCCCCCCACCCTCTCATGATATCTCTTGACGTGCGTCGTTCGACCTCCGGAAAGAACAGATTTCAAAGCAACGGGTGGAGACGGAGACGGGAAACACGAACAAGGTAGAGGCTACGGCCAAATCGGCGGAGGAGGAGCTCCAACAGCGGGAGGTGGAGCTCAAGTACGAAAAACTGTCACGTTGCGACACAAATGACTGGTATCTCGAAGATTGGAGTCTCTCTTTGATCAACATCTTGCTTGCAGTTGGTTGATTTATACCTAGCTCGCCTCTTCAGTCGCAGAGCTTCGATCCGGGGTCACACAACACGGCTAACCTAAATCAGCTTCTTCGGGAAAACACGACACCTGTAGCAGGCAAACTTTATTCGACACTAGCGAAATGACTGAGTCGGAGCTCCAGTTGTCCCTACTGTGGCACACACTGGGTTGTCTTGCGGTTAACTCTTGAGAGGACAGGCAGACGCGACTGTTGTACTTCGCAGACGCCTCCCCTACCAAGCCAAAGCGCTCAGCCATTGTTTGTGCATCGAACAAATGCAACGCCCCGTCGTCCCCACCCCGGGTGTATTTGGTGCGTCCAACGGCGCCCCTTCACCCCTCGTGAATTTGTTGAGATCTACTTATATATGTGGTGCACTCAGAATTTGATTGTCGCCTACGAACATGGCAGCCAAACCGCACTGTATCACACACATACACACACCTCATCTTGCCTTCCTTTGCCCTCCCTACCCCCCTTGTGGCTCGTCACGTTCGCGCATGCCCTCCTAGGGCTTCAAAAAAGAGGCTAGCTACAGCAAGGGAGCTAATGTTCAGGGATAGCCAAAAGCTCTACGCTTTGCGTCAGGAGGAGGCTAACTTCATCGCTGAGATATGCGGCGCGCAGGTATGAGCGTTTGCAACACCACCGTCATATCGTCAGCCAGATATATCCAAGAACAAAGAGCTCCGAATGTTTCACGGGTTCAGCACTTAGGCACGAATCGACGTACTCAAGCATGTTCTTGCCACAGCAACATTTATCCCCCACGTAGAAGGAAGGGATACATCGGAACACGGGCACCCACAGCTTACTGCGACGCTGCTCTGATGGTAGAAAGTGTTGATCAGTTCTATGACATGTGGCAGTCCACAGGATGAAAACTCGATGTTAACCCCTCAAAGTTGAGAACGTAGAGAGTGAAGAAGAGAAGTGTGTTTCGTGTATACGTAGTCGAAAAGCTCGATGCCGCCTAAAGTCCGTTGCTAACGAGCCGTCTCAAAAAGCAAAAACACGCGCACGCGATACGAAAAAACAGGCGACGATGAAGAACCTGCAGACCAAGGTGCACGCGCTGGACCAAGAACAGACCCGCCAGCAGGAGCTCATTTACTCGGCCGAGTTCCAGATCCAGCAAATGGAGAGGAAGGTCGCCCGAGGGATGGGAGAGCGGACCGACGAAGAGAAGTCCCAGCTCAACGCTAAGATCCGCGAACTCGAGGTCAGTCATGTTTGTAGCAGGATAAATGAGTTGTCCTGTCCTTCAAGGCTGGCAAGCGGGCGATCGCGAGTGATTTGTTCGGACCTTCAATCCAGATTATCCACATCTTCGCAATGTAGGTGGGGAAATGAGCAATAGTCTGCGGAGACCTGAGCTACATGGGTCACCACAAGCTTGAGATCACTGCTGCGGTATCACATACATACCTGTAACTCGGTCGCATCACAAGGCTGGTCCGGCGCTTAACATTTCGGCGAAACACTTGTGCACGAAAAGCGGCACCGTCTACCTTTCTTTTCATCGGTTTTTCCGAAACAAGCGAGAACAATTTTCACGCCCCATAGTCCGCATGTCATGAAACCAACGCAGGGCGAGGTGGAGGTAATGCGCGAAGAGAAGAAGATGCTTACGGGTCAGGCGCGTAAATTGAACAACGAGCTGCGAGCGTCCTTGAGGCGAAGAGGGGCTGCCTCCGCCCAGCAAGCGGAGCTCAACGAAACCATCAACGAGCTGGAGCTCGAGTGCAGGGCGGCGGATGGTGACGTAAAGTGAGAACTTGGATTCATTTAATACTACCTAAAACTTCAATCACGTTTCCCGGATAATATTATTCCCTGTGTGGGTTGTTTCCACCGAAACTGAGGTACAAATTAGAGGACCCAGGCGAGCACCGAGTCACCCAATCATATCCGCCGCGGGCCGATTTCTACGACCCTGCTGTGCATTTGTTGATGTGATCCCTCCCTACGAATCGATCGTGTGACAGACGTGCGATGTGCTTACACTGAACATTATCAATAGGTGCACTCAAGGAGTTGGTTTGAAATTGCCAATACCTCCACACCAAGAACGGCGCGAGGGTGGTCACTACAGAGGGGGGACAGACTAACACCCTCAATATATCATCGTCGTTATCCCTTCGTTATGCCCTCTCGGTTGTCTTCCAAACCGCTCTTGTGGAAATCAACAATTCGGCAGGCGAGAGTCTCAGACGAAAGAAGAGCTCATGGTGTCGAACGACGTCATGCGGCTGGAGGTGAAGCGCCTGAGGGACACCCTGAACGGTGCAGCGGATGAGGTTTTCAGCCTCGAAAACAGGCGGCAGCAGTTGGCGATGAGCATGAAGGAGCGTAAAGCTGAAATTCAGGTGACAACCCTACGTGATGAGTCAGCATACTGCACACGTGCATGATAAGACCAATTTCGCACGGCAATCTATAGTTTTGGGAAGGTATGACGTTTTCAGAGTGTGGTAAATCGCGTACTCTCTTGTCCTTGCATCGCGTGTCTGACGACCCAATACCATAGTGATAACTAATGCCACAACTCATCACCCGCGACATACTGCTAGTTTGATGGGACCATAAGTTAGGCAGACGGGTGGCCCTTGAAAAGAACTCACTGAAGAAACACGACCCCCGACAACCGACCCTGATGATTGCAAAGCGATGAGGTTTCTCAAGTGCCCTCCCGTCCGGTCTACATTCATGCCCGAAAACGAAACCTGAACACTCAAACAAATGTAAGGTACATTGGGACCTGCAGCGGGCAACGTTGAGAGCGGCCGAGGAAGAGCGCCACCGCGTTCAGCTAGAGCTTGGCGATCGTAGGCAAGCCGTTGAAAAACTCCGCGCCAAGTACGAGACGCTGGCCAAGGGATTTGCGGGTGCCGGAGCGGGTGAATTGGGGGGCGATCACGCGGGGGGCGGATCCTCCCAGGCCTACTTCATCATCGCTGCGGCGCAGAAGCGCGAGGAGCTGCAGCGGGAGGGCGACGAGCTTGACCAGGAGATACGGAGGTGCGAACGCGAGATACGGGCCCTCGAGAGCACTCTGCGGCATCTCAACGCGCGCAACGTGGACTTCCGAATGAGCTTCCAGCGAGCAGATCCAGGATGCAAGGACGCCGATGCCCTGAGAAGCTTGGAGGCCCGCGCCAAGGCCGCCCAGGACGGGCTCTTCCGTCGCAAGAAGGAGCTTCAGCGGGCGCAGACGGACCACGAGGAGGACCTCGCACGACTGGATGGAGCCAAGGCGCGCGCTGCTCGCCTGGACGAGCAGAACGCGCAGCTAGACTCGGTGAGGGTTCAGGCCGAGGCTCAGCTGGACGCTCAGCGGCAGGCGCTCACCAGGGCGGGGGAAAGGCTGGCGAGCGAGCGCGCGATGCACCGCAAGGCGCCCGGGGTTGGCGGGGGAGGTAGGGGCGACCGCGCCGGCGGTGTCGAAACGATGGTACCGACTGCTGACGATGTCACCCCTGCACCCGTGGCGGGCGGCACGGCGACAGCGGAGGCACGTGACAACGGTGGTGGGCTAATCGCCGCTGTTGTCGGGCGGGGCGGGGAAACGCTCACGGAAAAGGCGCTACGGGCGAGCACTCTCCGGGACACGGCATCGGGCGTGCTCTACACCCTCGGTCAGCTCGCGAGAGAGTTCCCCGAGATGCACGACGCTCTCAAAACCAGCTTGCATCTCAAGAAGCTCAAGGTACCGCCAGCCCCGCCGGCCCACGGCCCCGCCAGCGGTGTGGCGGCAGGAGCTTCAAAAACGGGGCGGGCTAGCAGCGCAGCAGGCAGCCGAGGGGGATCGGAGAGCTCATCTCACGTCGGCGGTGCAAGCGTGAGGAGCTCGACGAGCGGGGGTGGGATGCGGGGTGGTAGTCTCGGAGACCGGAGGGGCAGCCGGGCGGGCGGCGGCGGTAGCGTTGCTGGCGAGGGTATCTCGCCAATGAGGTTATTCGAGGCTCCCATATGAACGAAAAACACCGTATTTCCCGCAGTTTGTTGTCGTGACTCCCATGAGTTGTCCCAAGGTAGGAATATCGTAGTTCAACCCCACAAAGAAACGCTCTGGCCGACGCAGGGGAGGACACGAGTGTGTAGGTTCACCGCTAAACGCACCGCGGCGTAAACGACAAAAAAAGCAACATTACACCTGAAGAGACCACGCATTGCAAACACACGAGCGTTATGTGATGTAGTACAAACGCTTGAGACATCAAACACACACCAGCCCGTTCTACACAACCCCCTGTGCACCGTAGTACGCAACAAACAAGGTACCCAAGCAAACAACACCGGCGTGCAAAACCCTAAAGCTTACTGAACGGAGAGCATGTACCCTTCGTCCTGGAAATCGGCAACGATCAGGAAAATCCGACCTAAAACACCAAGCAGCCCCTCCGTGGCAGCTTTGGAAAAGGAATAGAACAAACAACCAATGCCATACGCAGTGCACAAACGGGTTTGCGATTGCGTTTTCTCGCCTCTACATGCGTTCGTCAGACCTTGGCGTCGCCGAGTGTACCAGAAGGGCGAACGGACGCATCGACAGCACGCCTTGGTATGGTGCGTGCGCCACACTTTCCCCCCACTCAAAACATCCTCCGGTTGATCCACGCAACACCAAACAAATGAACGGCGGGAAGAAAGAAAGTACTATTATGATACGACAGTCACGCCGTCGAAGGGGTTTTAATGTTCCCATCCCTGGGTCCTGCCTCCCATCAAAATCGGCACGCCTCGAATGTATCAAGATGCCTTCTTCGAAGCGTCCGTCGATGGCTCTTGGTAGCCTCGCATGTCCTGCGGACGCTTGAGGGTACCCCAGTACTGATCGCAGAAGGTGAAGAACTGCCCGAAATTAACGTGGTAGTGCGTGTGGTGTACCTGTTGCAAGGTTTTACGAGGAAGGGAGGCGAGGGTGTCTGCCGAAGTGGTGGGGTACGCTTTGCATTCTCGTTTCCTGGAGCACGCAGAGAATACGCGTTTACGCGATACGCTTGCTTGCCTGTGAGCACTGATCCTGTTGGCATCCGAGACACAAACTCGAGAGTTTGCGGGCAACCTCTCTCTCTCTCTCTCTCTCTCTCTCTCTCTCTCTAGAGTCTCTCTCTAGAGTCTCACCGTGTGGTACTTGGCGCCCATGATGGGCTCCGAATTGCCCGGCACAGCGTCGTGGATGTTCGTAGCCCAGATTGCCGTGAACATGAACATGACCATGTGCGTATAGTAGTGGCACGGGATAAAGAACAAGCAGATCACGTACGGGCAGGCCTGTGCCACATCGTTTGAGTGTTTGCGGGGCAGGGAGAGGCGAAAGACAGAAAGCGAGGGAGGGAGGGAGGGAGGGAGGGAGGGAGACCGCAGCGTGAGTCAGAAAAGTGTCTGCGATCGTTTTAACCGGGCAAGAGGCGTGCGCAACACAAGGAGCACGGGAAACGGAACGCTAACGTTGTTGCGTGGTGCGGGACGGAACCCGAGAGACAACAAACAGCCCGAGTGTCAACGACCTTGTCGGTGAGCGGAATGCCGCTTGAGACAAACTAAACGGCTTTTGCGGTGGTGTGCCAACCACTGGTGCACAATTCTGTGAGGCTTTTCGTCTTGCGTACTCGCCCTCTTGAGGTTGGATACGATAGCGGAAGAGGAAACTCGAAAATTCACCATACCCACACAAAGTACCGAGCACCAAAAAGCAGGGGCATAAAACTCGACTTGAAATGAAACATGGGGTCGGATCAAAAAGCCAAACGGAAATGCTTTCGCGAAAACAAGCAGACTGCTGTAGCTACGCCGCTTGGCCTGCCACAAAGCCAAAGCAAGTGCCCACACAAAGTGCGCATATTGTCATCTATTGTTATCTCATCACAAAAGTACAGTTTCAAAACAAAAATATCCCCATCTCACCTGGAGGACCCCATCGAGAGGATTGAAGGCGATTGACGCCCACGGAGACAAGGTTTCGGGAGAGTTGTACTTGTGATGAAGCGCGTGCACGTACTTGTACAGGAATTTGTTCGTGTGAAGCGTCCGGTGCATCCAGTAGATCTGTGGGAGGGGGCGTTGAAGAGTCGTTCGTTGATTCGTTGGGGATACATGCAAAAGTAACGCGGTCCTGCTTGTGGGCTACACTCAACACAAACACGTTGCACGTCCAGATGTGCAGAAAAAAATAGCACATTTCCACGAAACATAACTAGAGGCCTGAGGCACCACATTTCCAGCCTCGTGGAAGCGTTGGCAAGCATGATTAATAGAACGACTACTTCGTAGCGCGCTGGCAGCAATGCTTGAAATTGAAAAGCCCTAAAGCAAACATTTCCACGCCTTGTCTCGAACACCTGTTGACTTCCGACACAAGTGGCATACCAACACCGACAGCTTCAACCAGCAAGCACGAGAGCTTGTGATGACACCCACCCCGATTTCAACGAAGGTCAAGTAGACCACGGTGTACAGCACGTACCCGACCAGCCCGCCGACGTCCGAAAAGTGGAAGTAGCACCTGCACCACCACCACCACGGCACAAAAATCGACATGAGAGTTTGACCACGACAAGAGCTCCTGCGGGGGAAGGTGCAGCCTGCCGACTTTCAAAGGGTCTCCTATCTTGGTAAATATCAGGTTTGAGCGGAACTCGGTTACCCAGTTAGTTGGTTCATGGCCTTCAATTCCAGCGTAGCAGAAGCACTTTCCTACGGTTATCAGGCTAAGAAAACTCACAAATACAGCGAGCTGTTCGGGTCTTAGAGAAGCATCTCCACAATACTATTGCGGCACGCTTTCAGCCACTAGCGACTACACAACCCTGTTTCCTTTTCTACACCTCGTGTATCCTTCCTCGATGAAAAACTCCCCCAGGACCGGCAGCATCGCGTATACCGTCGTGCTCAGCTGGGCCAGCTGGATCTGGTCCCAGATCACCGCCGGCGCTGGCATACCCTTGGGGAATAGCGTGCGCCCCATCTTGATGTAGATCACCCTTCATGAGCGAGAAAAAAAAGAATGCAAACAAAACCACAGTTTCAAGCCAGGGATTGGTGGAAATTGATCCGAATGCAGGTTCTGTGGCGCACACGCCTGCAAAGGGCGGTAGGAAACAAAATACCCGCCCTTGAGCGGTTGGCCACGCGCACTGCAAAAAACCGAAACGCTGCGGAGCGTGCTGAACAACGGGCGGGCAGAGGACGAGGATGGGGTGCGGCGATCAAGGAACCACGAAGACGTTCCATGCCAAGGTTTCGTTGATACGGCGACCACTAACGGGTTTGAAACGCGAAAAAGAGTGTAGATTATCATGTAATTCTCATGTAAACGGAAATCCAGCCGTTGGAAGCGCGCTTCGCAATAGTGGCAACTGCGGGCAATGATAAAATGCATCTACGCCAGGTAGGCCTCTGAGCGGTTTCGCACTTTTTGAAAATATGCCAACTTAATAACACGTGAAAGGCCTGAAGAACAAATGCATCCGCAAAGCTCTTTGAGACTTCTTGCCGACGTTGTCGCGGTCGTCTACGCAAAAAAAAGGCGAAATAAACTCAGTCTCTGGGGATCAATTCGAGCGTGCTACAACATGCTGAGCTCACCAATGCCACATTGCCGCCGTGATGTAGTAGAGAATCGACCCCCCGAGGAAGTTGCGGACGTACGTGAGGAAATAGTGGGCCGCCTTGGCCCCCATGGCATCCCGCGCCGCCTCAATGGCGCCCTCCGAGAACAAAAAGCTGTTGATCCAAGCGTTGAACTCTTTCACCAATTCGGGGCTGCTGGTGGCACCTGCCATCATCGTCGCGTCCGGACTGTCCGAGACGGAGATCGACGGTGCTGATGCAGCCCCCGCTGCCGCTGCGAGGGCGACCGACGAGGTCAAGGCCAACGCCGCGGCCGCCGCGGTGTAGCCAGCCCAACGCCCGACGCTGCCCGTGGTGTTGGTGATCATCGGCCAACTCGCCCGCTGCGTACGGAAAGGATTGTCGACAACAGCGTAGATCGGGGGAGATGCGTGCCGTCCGGGTTTCAACAGAACGAGGCATTCGTTTTTCTGGATTTTCAGACGCAGCTGGGAAGTGCTTGCACGACCCCACATCCAAATCATGTGTACGCGACGACCCTTACATCCGAGGGGTGGAGTACTGCCACATCCAGTATACGGGCACGATATACTTCCTACTCCCTGGTTCTTTGGGAGCACTAGAGGAACATTCCGGCGGAGTTCGGATAGCTTTACTGCACATACACATTCGGTGCGCTAAAATTAAATGCCCGCGTGTGTTGGCGCGGGGGAAGATGTATGCGGACAAGAGAGCGGCTTGGGCCTCCCTCAGAGGGATAAAATCTTGTTACGGTGTTATGATGAGTATGCATACCAGTCTACGGTAGTCTAGTGATCTTGTTGCGAAAACAAACAGGTGGTCAACCCACCGCGCCTCGTTGTCCGTTGGTCAAGTACGAATCGTGGTAACCGGCAACCGTAGCGGGGAACTACATCGAGGTGCACGTGTTGCCGTGGGCTTGCTGGCTGATGCTAGTGATAGCTGCAGTTGCCATAACAGCATTTGTTGGGAAGTAAATGGCGGCAACGGTGCGCCCAAAGAACAAGCGAGGCCGTGGACGAAACACCCGCGGTACAGAACGCACACGCCAAAAATCTGTGTGAAAAAAGCGACTCGTCACGTGCACAGCAAGAAACGGAGTTTGTTCTTACTTCTTCAGGTATGACGGCATCATAAGGCTTCGGCCCGACTTCGCATTTTCAAGCCGTTACCTTGCTCGTGCGAGTCCGAGTGTTGCCATGCCTTATCACCTATAGTAACGGAATCAAACTGCAAGACAGCAGTTGTGCTGCTCTGTACCTGCCCTGTGCCTGAGCTGACAAGATGAACCCAAAAAGAAGGGAAACAACCTGAGATCATCCACGCGTAGGCTATTCGTTCCCAACACTCTGGCAACACACGTACCTCCACCAAATCGATCTCCAAACACTGCTTCTCTTCATTCAAGGAGCTTACCTTGATTCGGGGTGCCAGAAAGGCGCTGAGTTGGCGGCTAGCGAAACGGAATGTGAGAGCAGCAGGGCGAGCGGGAGATGGGTGCGGCGGGATTTACAAAAGGTACAAAGGTACCCCCTTTGGACGTGTGGAGTTCGTAGGGTACAGCGGTAAACGCAGCAAACAGACACCGTCGTGATGCCAGCATATATCATTGCTGTGGCCATGACAAGACTTCGTAGATGGAGCGCTGTGATACTGATAGGACTGCTTCAAATGTCTTCCATTCCGCCGGCCCATGGGCGCGCCAGACAGGAAGAGACGGTGAGATAGGAAGGCAGAGCGAGACGCCCTCGAAATACAAAATGCTGCCACCCGATCTTGCGTTGAACCTGGCCCTATGGTTGCGGTGGTTGAACCCACGCGATCGGCAGTTTCAGCTGACCGCCTGGCCTCTGACTCGTGTCGTTGGAATGTGGCAGCCTTGACATGGGTTCGTGAAAGGGGGTTTAGCTGCCATACGTCGTTTTGTGCCGTGTGCCGTGTCGTGCGCTCCTGGTGCGGCGGGATGATCACACGTGTGTTCCACAGCAGTCGGCACAATGGCGTGTTGAGTGGTGGTCTTCAGGAGCAGCCCGCCGTCTCTCACGTCTCGCAATGACATGGTAGCAGTCTAGGAATGTCTTCAGACGCTGATAAGCGTACTGCCTCACGGCCTCACAAACGGCGCGTGTACTAGTCCACATATGCAGCAGACTGGCTCGAAAAAGAACAGCCTTCAATTGTCAAATCTTGCCGAAAAAAATGAAATGGCAGCTCCGCGGTAGAGATGTTACCTGTACACATGTACACACCGATCCTACCCATATATAATGACGAGCGCTGATTTAGGCTCAAGCAGCATAGCTTTTCTTTGGTGCATGCCTTCATGCCGCCATGGGAGAAGGGCTTAACAGGAGTTGCTTCCCCCAAATGCACTCACGAGCAATCGCTTTTTATATGTACCCTGACGACATGATGAAGAAATTTGAACTTTCTGCGAGATCGGTTCGACATGGCCAGTAGAACGTTGTCGAGGTTACAACAAATGCCAGGGTGATCAGCTGGGCCGCTGCTCTGCGTAAGAAATACAAAGCTGTCACGTTATGTGCTGTACCCCACAACGTGTGGTTCGATTCGATGTCCCACTCCTGATGATACGTACCACACGCACCCCCGCCTGCGCGGCAGAAGCAGGAGAAGAGCCGGAGAAAACGAAGAAGAGGCGCCGGGAAGGAGGAGCTGGATGAAGATGTAGTGTTTGCGGCGGAGGTGTTGGGGCTGGTTCATGATAGGGTTCGCGACGCGGGCGATCTCATGCGTGTTATCGGGGACACGGCCGGCGGGCTCTTTGGGGGAACCTTCAAGCTTCTGAGCGCACCCGTAAATGTGAGAGAATCCCTCTTGGGGGGATTAACACCATCCCCACCACCACCGGTGCATCGCTGCAAGTACACATGCTAGCTCTTGTGTTGCTCGAAACTGCAGAAAATGTTACCCTCCCAAGCTCTCGTCTGGAAGTTTACCTCTGTATAGAGACTATTTGGAGTTTTCATGACGTGTACGAGCTGCCCCACGTCGTTCGACCTATGAATGTCTGGTGCGGCGGCGCCAGGTCGCCAAGCACGATACAGGCTTTACAGTTGCACGGTCCGTATTTTGTATGTTAGCCACACAGCAGCATATCGTTTCCCTAGCTTACCCTGAAAACTTCCATCTTTCTCGCCACGTCTGTGCCCCACTGGCTCCCGGCTCATGTGTCGGTCGAACAGGGCCTTTCGTCCATGCTTGATGCGGCCAGTCGCGAGGTGAAGGCGGACGTCAGCCCGGCGAACGCGCAACCATCCACGCTGTCAGCTGACCCCACCAGAAGCCACGACGCCGGTGGTGGGTCAGCTGCCGGTAGTTCCTCGGCCTCTCCTGACGACTCTGGCGAGGATACCGTGCCGGTGGCAAAGGGTCACACAGGGAGGTCCAGCGGCCAAGGTGGTGACCCCGATCCGTTTGATCGAATCGGCAGTGTAGCCCTCACCTCTCTGGCCGGTTCGTTGAAGCTCCTCAGCGCTGCCGTTGGAGGGGTCGGGGACGCAGTGTTTCAAGCGGGTGTGCTGGCGGAAGGGCTGGCCGGGGGCACGGGCCAGGTGGCGGGTGAGCTTGGGTAGCCGCGCCCCGCGATGGTGAAAAACCACGTATCGATCGTGTTGCGTGGAGACTATCCAACATCGAAGGGAATATCTTGTGTTGTTTCGTGAGAAGCAAACTCTGGCTTCTCACTCTCCCTCACCGCGATTTCTCTAACCCTCCCCCCCACCCGTCTGAACCTCGACTCGTGCGCGAAATGGAGAGGACACCGTTAGGGTCGTGCAGAGATTAGTAGGTTGGGCCAGGGATGACATGGTCAAGCTGAACAACCGGAGAGGCCAGGGAGGCCACCACGACGTTAGGAAAAACGTGAACGCACCAGAACCTGGGAAGCGGCCACCGCCAGCAACACCACCAGCAGGCGTCCGCAAGTCCGAACCAGCCCCTCACACCGCCGAAAAGGACGGCTTTACGCCGGACCCCGCCTTGGTCTCCGACGGGTTGAGCGTTCTCGAGGCGTGGGAAGGCGTTCGTGACCTCGGGCGCTTGGCGGTTGAGGCCTTGGTCCGGCAGGCGGCGAGCCTCTTCCGCCGAAAGAACGGGGCCCTGCCCCCCGCTCCCCGTATCGCGGCGTTGATTCTCCTGGCGATTTTTATCTACGATCGACGACGACGAGGACGAGGACGCCACCAACCGCCGCCGCCGCCGTCCCCGCGAGAGCCCCAGCGCAGCTCCGTGGCGCGGCGAGACTTGGGCGAAAGGGGCGACGGGAACCGAGGGCCGCCCTCCACTGCGGTGGCGTTTGACCTGACGGCCAGCCTGCACTCGCCCTCCCGCTCTCTGTTTTCGAGGCTGCGCCAGGCGGCGGGCACGCCCCCGTTGCGAGCGCCTGGCTCGCCTTGGACGAGGAGGACGTACGAGGTCGTCCCGCAGCCGGACGGCATTGATCCGTCGCTGCCGACCCCCTCACAGGCACGAGCCGCCCTGGCGCGGACGGGGCAAGCAAGACGGTCCTTGATGCCTGGGCTGACGCGGCGGCGTGGCGGTGGGGAGGGCGAGGTTGAGAGAGAGAGATCGGTGCCGATGGCGGCATCGTCGGGACGTGGTGTTGAGCGAGGGACTACGTCGTCTGTGGGGTGGGGGTGGTGGCGGCGGGTACGGGGGTGGACGAGATGCCGCGAACCACGAAGGGCGGGTGGTGGTAGCGGTGGCCGCCGGTACATGCTGTGGCTTTTCGCGCTGTGGTTGGTGGCTTCGGTGCTTGAGGTGGTACTCAGTATGTGATTGCGAGATTTTCTAGTCCGGGGTCCCCCTCAACGACCTTCCCAATGCCACTGAGGTTTGAGCCCTGCCACTGCAATGGGCATCCATCGGGGCTTCTGTTTGCACAAAGCCCCATTAATCGCGCTCGGTTTTCACCTTGTATTGGTGAAGCCTGCGGAACGCCTTTGATCAACCGTCCTTGTCCTGGACATTTGGTATGGTGCATACGAGAGTTGTTGACCCCAGATGCTGTGTGTCCGTGTGTTGTCACCACCCTGGAGATGTAGACTAGTAGACTGATCTATTAGGTGTCCTCACTGCCGCCAGCTTTGTTGTTGTTTCTTGACAATAAAAAACGGCACGCCCTTTAGGAGAGAGAGCGCGACAGAGCGGCGTGGTTGGCATGGGACGAGGGTTACCGTCGAGGCCAGGCGTCGCGGGCTCTCGATCCCGCCGCGGAAGCCGAAACGACGGCGTGGCTTAACCATATCCTCGCCAGCGCTTGGGGGGGCACGAAGCGGGTGGTGCCGAGAGGATTTGCCGGCGTCAACGGTATCGCCGGTGGCCGCGATGTACACGGCTGTGTCGTCACTGGCATGCTTGCCGCGGATGGAATGAGCTCTTTCGTCGCCGAGTGAGTAACGAGCAACCGTTGCCTCATCGGGCACGCTACACGATGCGGTGATATCTTGGGAAAGCACGCGTAGGTACTTTGGTGAATGCTGTTCCTGTTGGCGAAGCAGAATATTCACGTGCGGTTGAGGACCTGCAACTATTGTGAGACCGGGTCAATTTTCACTGCTTTCCGTAACCTGTCTGTCTGTGCTGATCCCGAGTGATTGTATTTTTCATACAACGTTGCACCGTGCTGCAAACACGCTCTTTTTGACAGGCACTTGACGGAGGGATTCGTTGAAGTGCTGGAAGAGATGAAGCCCACAAGCGTTGTTGGGGTCGAGCTTCTAGACGTCGAGCTCGGCTCCTCCGCTCCGCAGATCCTGGGGATTACGGTAGGGATCACTTAGTCTTAGTCGGAACCCTCCTCCTCCTCCTCCTCNCGCTCTCGCCCCTCTCCTCCTCCTCCTCCTCCTCCTCCTCCCCCCCAACCACACCGTTTTCCTTGTCCCGCGGGTCGAGATCGCTTGCCGCGAAGAAACGTTGCTTGCCGCGAAGAAACGTTGGGTGTGAAGAAGTTGGTCCTTTATTCGGGTCTACGGGCGTTACTGTGGCCGTTTGTCTTCCTCCCTTCCCCGTTTCGAAGGAGGCGCTACTATTACGTGGCAAGGTAGAGGAGAACGATAATCACAAAGCTGGATAACGTTGAACATACAAGGGGGGCTAATGTCTTCGTGAAAGAGATGACAACAATAACATGGGAGCGACGTATGCAGATAGATTGTGGGGTGCTAGGCGAGTGGTGATCGAGAAGAAAATCGCTATCCAACAGGATCGATGGCGGCCACCAAAGGCGGACAGGGGGATACGGCTAGCAAAATACATTCCATATTTAATACTAGTGCCGCTCTTCCTCTGCATGGCTTAAACGAATCGCAACGATGGCGAGAACCCCCCCCCCCCCCCCCCCCCCCCCCCCCCCCCCCCCCCCCCCCCCCCCCCCCCCCC